CCCCTGGGCGTCCTGCCACTGCTCCCCAACCTGACTGGGCACCTGAGGAGCTGAGCTCCTCTCCCTGCCCTGGCCACTTTCCCCACCCATGGTCCCCATCCCATGTCCAGCACGGCTGTGGAGGCAGGAGGAGCCATGAGCCAGATCCCCAGGGCCACATCATGGTGTGCTGCTGCCCTGCCCTATTCAGCACAGCGAGGGACACCAAGCACAGCCTTGTCCCTGGCACTGCAGGACACTGACCTGTTCCCTCTTATCCTTGCAGGAAGGTGAACAAGTGCTACCGGGGTCGCTCTTGCCCTATTATCGTGCACTGCAGGTACTGCAGGGGAGGGAGGGGCATGCAGGCTGGAGGGTGGCTACAAGGCTGGGACCTGCTGCCCAGGACCAGTCCCTGAAACCAGTCCCCCTGAGCCAAGTGTCTGTGTCTTGCAGTGATGGTGCAGGCAGGACCGGAACGTACATTCTTGTTGACATGGTCCTGAACCGTATGGCCAAAGGTAGGTGCAGGGAAGGACCACTTCTGCCCTGTCCATGGGCTGCTTGGCCTGTGAACCCCGCTCCTAGCACCTCTCTCCCCCTCTGCCCCAGGAGTGAAGGAGATAGACATAGCTGCTACACTGGAGCACATCCGAGACCAGCGGCCTGGCATGGTGCAGACCAAGGTACCCCCAAACTGGGGATCCCCTCCTTCTGTGAGCATGCATAGCCCCTGGGGCCGGGGCTGGCACGGACCCTCACGCCTCCCTCCTGTGCTCCCACAGGACCAGTTTGAGTTCGCACTGACAGCCGTGGCCGAGGAAGTGAATGCCATCCTGAAGGCACTGCCGCAGTGATGGAGCCCTCACCTTTCGTCTGCCCCCATGCCTCTGCTTTGTGCAATCCTCACCCTGCCTGTGGGGCTGCTCTCCCTGTACAGTGCTGTCTGTGTGCTTCTGCCTCTCTCCCCCCTCCCCCCACGCCCCCCCCGCCTGTCTCCCCAAGGACACCAGCCTCAGGACCTCTGTGTGCAGGACTCCCATCATACCTGCTGCCACTGCAAGAGGGGACAGGACTCATGTCCCCTCTCCGCTGTGGAGGAGGGGGCTAGTGGTACTGCTGGGATCCAGCTGTGGGGCCCCAGCTGCTCTCCTGCACCCCAGCCTGGCTGTCCTGTGTTAGCTCTCTCTCCCTGTACCCATGTCGGGGACAGAAGTGGGCAGGAGTCCCCCACAGCTGAGGGGAGCACTGGGTGCAGGGGGGCCTGGCCCAGCCCCAGCTCCCCTCTGTGTGCTCCCTGCCTTGTCACTTGAGCAGAAGAGAAATTTCTAGAGAAATATAATTTTGTATCTTGATGTGAATAAAGTTCTTGTGTCATGTTTGTGCAGCTGCAGCCAGGCCTGGCCTCTGACTGTGTGTAGGGCGAGGGCATAGGGACGAGAGGTCTCGTCTATCCATCTCTATCCCTCCAACTCCTAACCAGCAAACAAGTACAGCTTCCCTCCAGGCAAACATGGGAAGAACCCTGCACCCCCAGTCCAGAGAGACCCTGCAGTCAGAAGCTACTGCAAACAGGTTTATTGACAGCTGTCAGCACAAGGAGGTCAGAGAGGGAGAGGCTACAGCAAGGAGAAGGGCAGAGCCCAGCCCTGCTGGCTAAGCCCAGCCATGCTGCCCCTTGCTGCCTGCTGCCAGC